TTCCATGTGAAAGCCTTTACTAGTCATACTGAACCCAAAATATTCACCAATTTGACCTGTGGAAAATGAGAATATTTGGATATCGGCTCTGGCATGTGTCCAGCAGGGAAGACCGACTCAGGGAATCGGGACCTCCACGTTCGAGCATGGGACGGAATCAAACTTAAAAATAAAAAAATTTGTGAATGCAGAATTACAGGGTGACCCCAGATTTATTTCCGGATTTTCACCATTTTAATTTTAACTCAAATATCCCAAAATTTACGTTGATGCCATGGAGAGGAATGTCAGATGAAATTGTTTTGTTTCATGTGAGAGGCTTCAGGACCAGTGAAGAACTTCAATGTGTTTGCTTTTTATTTTTAATGCAGGCCTCAAATTTCAGCTCAGCAGTTATGATGACATAATTAGGGATGCGAAGGATGGAAATGTCCCAGCTGGTGTTCCCAAGGATGTTACATGATTTCTTTTTTTCCAGCTCTTGAAGACCATGAAATAGTTCTTATTTTAAGCCTGGTTCCAAATAGACAGTGCATTTCTGCATCTTGGATTCATCTTGTGACTGAATGAAATGTTTTCTGGGAGATGGATCGGACGTATCAGCTCGACCACTCGGCCAGCCTAGTCCCTGGACCTTACGCTATTGAACGCTATGGAGTTATAATTAAAAAATCCAAGGTTTATGTGACAAAACCCAGAAGTGTCCAAGATTTGGAGCAACGCATCGGGAGCACCATCGGGGACATTCCCATCCTTCATATCCTTAATTATGCCACCACAACCGTTGAGCTGCAATTTGAGACCTGCATCTTCTAATATCTGATATTATACAGTATAGACGATCGTGACTGACTGACTGACAGACGCTAATTCTAACCATGTTCTAGAGAAGTAAGGAATCTGAAACTTGGTACACATGTACCTTTTGGGATCCAGAGTTCAGAAAAAATCCTACTTTGGAGGTACATGCCCTGGAGGCACCCATTTTGGGGGGAGATGTTTTCAATGATATATATTTGCTTCAGTCAAACGGAGAGTCATGGAAAGCTGAAACTTGACATGGACGTGCCTACTGAGGCACAAATTTCAGGGGAAATGTCAAGTTTCAGATGCATGCCCTGGGGGTATACTTTTGGGGGGGTGACGTTTTCAAATAATTTTTTTTTGTCCTAGCGAATTGGCCAAAGATAGAAAGGTGAAACTCGATAAATAAGTACCTTTTGAGAATCTGAATTTTTAAAAATTCAGGCTTTGGAGGTAAATGCTCTGGGGGAACAAATTTCAGGGGGAGATATTTTCAAATATTTTTTTTGCTTCAGTCAAACGGATAAACATGGAAAGCTGAAACGTGACATGGATGTACCTACTGAGACTGAGTTCAGGAAAAATGTCACGTTTTGGATACATGCCCTGGGGGCATATTTTTTTGAAAAGGTGCTTTTTCTGGAAACTTTTCTGATTCAATGAAGGAGAGAACTAAAGATAGTTGACATTTTGAGCAGAAGTACCTGTTCGATTACTGAGTACATGTCCTACTTTTCAAATATGACCCATCAGGGCAGATTATGAAGAGATTTGAAGTTAGGCAAACAAGAAACAATGTGAATAATTAATCCGATGAAAATATCGGTTTATTCTCTCTCGATACACATTCCGATGGGCACATACTTTTAATAGGTTTTTGCCACTTTGAAAATAAATTATTGAATGAACCACTATGGTAATGGAGCGCCGAAGGCGCTACAATAGAGAGTTTGTTTGCCCTTCGGGCAAGCAAGCTCGCTAGTGTGTAAATGCGCCTGAAGCCGCACGTTGTGAAAATGCGAGATGGCTATTTCCCCTTACACAGGTATAGTATCCCTTGTGTATCTGTCACATTTGACCTTCCTCATGTCAAACGTGCTTTTCACTAAAATTTTATATCCACCACAGCAACGCATTTGACTTTCTTATCAAATTTGACCTAGAAAACCTATATAGTGGAACGGCTCGCTGACGTCATCACATGCGCAAGATTTTAACCCGCCCCCCCTCCTCCTCTCCGACCCCCATTGGATAAAGCACTACTTCGAAAGCACTATTTCATCAAATGATCCACGAAACCATCCACATGGAAAATGTCTCTGCCTTCATTCGATGGAAGCGCTCCTATGGGAGGGTGTGAATTCAATCAGAAAACAGTGCACTCTGAGGCCGAGTTCATACTCGTGCTGTACAGCATGCTGGATGCTGCAACTGCATACTATCCAATGCAACATGCCCGTGTTGGATTGGACTTTGCTGCTGCTGTACGGGCTGTACAGCATGAGTATGAACTCGGCCTGACTCAGCTCTGTTTTTTAGGTTTGACTGCGGGTTTTCACGCAAGATGGCGTCTTTCATGGGTAACTCGAATCGACCCAGATATTCCAAGCTCCCCAATGGAAGTAAGTGCCTTCCTCCCACAAAAACTTAGAGCTTGACCAATGTCTGTTTTGTGATGTACTAAGGTTGCCATGTCTATTAGTCCACTGAAACCCTAGAAGGCTGAAAGCAAGATGTAATCCGCTATTCCACACAAGGAAAGCTAAGCCTGGCTACGAACTAAAGTCGGATACGATACGCTCCAGTAATGAGCTACGTACAGGCCTTAATGTTGACTTCTAGTGGAACTAAGGAAGGAACTGTTCTATTAAAAGAACCAGGTCATGAATACAGAATGCCAAATTAAGATTCTTTGGTTGGCCAGTGTTGCACACTGTGACTGAATGTAGAGTGCCCCCATCCTTGAAAACCTTCAGGTTGAGCCATTGCTTCTATAGATTGAGAGATCCCAAGTCTGGTTGTTAAGGACATGTCTTCTGTATGCTGCCTGAGAGACTACCAAAAAAATCAACTTGAGTTAAAATATATTTGGCAGAAGACCAGTCAGTAGACCTTGTACAAGGTGAAACTTAGTCACAAGAGGCTCTACCTTCCAGCTGAGCTTGAGTCTATTACCCCAGATAAGAAACATTTGAGGGCATTCCTGGGCCTGCTTCAAATGTGACCATATTTAGTGGGGAAGCATGTTTTTGAAAATGTATGCTGTGTATAAAAATGTTTCCTCAATTCATACCTAGAAATAGTTCATGCTTTTAGCATATCTTCAAGTCTCTGTGAGGATCATAAGTTGCTGGTCTCTATGTTTTCAGTAATAATTTGGCAAAAAAATGTGTTAACTTCCACTTATGGATGAGTTGATTTATGACCGAGAAAATGAACTTCTTCTTAAGCTACCTAAAAGCTTTTATGCAAATTGTGACAAAAATTTATGCATTTTGATGGGGTTCAATAACCTACATGCTCTTGCTTTGAGTCTCTGGAAATTACTTATTCTTAGCATACAGTTTATTTCTATTTTAGGCCTAAAGAGATGCAGAAGCCTTTCCACAGCTTTTGAGTGGCCATGGAAGATTATGAAATAGTGGGAAGGATTGGAGAGGGGGCTCATGGCTTGGTGTTGAAAGCTCGGCACTTGAAGAAGGGAGAAATTGTGGCTATGAAAAAAGTGCCCATCAAGAGACTGGAGGAAGGGATCCCAATCAGTATCATTCGTGAAATCAAAGCTCTACAGCAAATAGAACATACATATGTTGTGAGACTTTTGGATGCATTTCCTCAAGGTCTGAGTTTTGTGTTTGTGTTTGAGTACATGATGTCAGATTTGGCAGAAATGCTTCATCATCCCCTCCGACCCCTCACCGACTCTCACATTAAAGCATACATGGCCATGCTACTTGAAGGAGTGGCATTTTGTCACGAGCAGGGCATTCTTCACAGGGACCTCAAACCTGCAAACCTCTTGATTAGTTCTCATGGAGAATTGAAAATAGCGGACTTTGGATTGTGCCGTGTGTATTCCCCAAATCCTGAAAGGCCCATGTCTCACCAGGTGGCCACTCGGTGGTATCGTGCACCTGAACTCTTATATGGATCTCATCACTATGACTTTGGTGTGGACCTCTGGGCTGTTGGCTGTATCTTTGGGGAAATGCTCACAAAATCTCCTCTATTCCCTGGAGAAACAGATATAGACCAACTGCGAATTGTTGTCACTACATTGGGTACTCCAACTGAGGACACCTGGCCAGGGCTATCTACTCTTCCTGACTACAATAAAATCATGTTTCCACCATCCAAGGAAATGCCAATGGAAGAGCTTGTACCAGATGCTACACCTGATGCTGTTGCCCTTCTTCATCGCCTATTGGTCTATAATCCTAAAAGGAGGATTCCTGCCAAGCAGGCTCTATCCCATGCATATTTTGTGAACCCACCTCCACCTTGCTCTCCTGGAAATTTACCAAAGCCATTTGCCAAAAAACGAGGTCAAGATATAGAATTGCAAACTGGTCTGACTGCTGATGCTCTTCTTGGTGATTCTCTGAAGCTTCAAGATATGGCATTTCCATAGTCCTATGAAAAATGAGCTATTTCATTTTCCTGTAATTTTTTGTGTTTGCTAGTTCCAACTCAGAAAAATATTCAATTTTGTCAGCAATCATCAAGGAGAAAATGCAATATGTGAAATTTTCACAAGCACAAGAAAAATTGTTGGTAGTGGACTTAGTGTTTCTTTGCAACCAGGTCTGAACAAATTCAGTATCGTTAAAAATGCTGAATTTAAAAATGTAGTTATTACTTTTTATGCAAAAAGCCAATTACCAACTCTCCTGCACATTGTAAATCAGACAAAAGAATTGAAGTTGACTCATTTAGGTTTTTTGGTTTATTTTCAGCTCTGAGTTCAGATCATTTTCAATGTTGATTGAATATTGTTGTATGAATGAAGAATTTTCTGTTTCCCTGATGCATTTTTTTTTGTCTTCAGAAATGGATGGGTCATTTTAACCCTTTGAGGAGTGTGTTTTCTTAACCCTTTCAGTGTCCACCTGAATCATTATCCCACAGGCAAGCACGCAGGTGCATCCCAAGTATGTACTTGGGATGAAGCTGAAAGGGTTAAACCTTTTGGGAGTATGGATGTACCAGTACAATCATACTCCTCAAAGGGTTAAAAGTCTATTATCTTACTTCAATTCCTGATTGATGATTTTGGTATATGTATGCAACCTGACAGGTTTTTTGTTTTTACTTTGAAATAGAGGTGAAATTGAAACCTAGCAAAAAGTACAAGGATGGAAGATGAATTATGCCAGCACTCCCAGCACCACTTGTGGTTTTTACAGTCCAGGGTGACTGTCATAAGGGGAACAAAAATGATTGAACCCTACCCAACACAAAAGGGGGGATTCATGAATAGGAAGAAAGGCTGGAAATAACTTCCTTTCTGGGAGATGCTACTGATCAAGAAAATTCCTATTCAGGGATGAATGGTGATCAGTTTTCTTTACTGAAGCATAAAGTTCTTTCATACTTATAGACACAACGGAGGAGGAGACTGTGGATCGACAGAATCTAGAGCGGGCTGGTATTCTTTCAGAAAAGGTGTCTCGGTTGAAGTCTGTGAGTGTTTTTACATTATTCTGTTCATTTTTAGAACGATTTTTCAGTGTTTCTATGTTCTCTATAAGATAGATTGGTGGTTTTCACTAATCATTTTTTTTTTCACTTGAGTTGGACATACATCAAGTGTCTGATAGAGTAAGTATCCAAGTCAAGTGAAAAACATTGGTACATTATACAGTGACTGATGTTGCAATGGGTACAATGCAGCTTGTCAGGGTGCATTCACTTGAAAAGAGAGTTCTTGCTGTCAGAATGGATTTTAATGAAATATATACCATAGTCCATTTGGTTGCATAGTGTTGGTGTGTGACTCATGAAGCATTGCACTATTTATCCCTGGTTTTCCCTGATTCAGTTGGCATTAGACATAGAAGGAGAAACAAAGGGACACAATCATCTCCTGGATGGCTTGGAAGATGACTTTGAAGGCACTACTGGGCTCTTGAGTGGTAGCCTCAATCGAGTGCATGCACTCTTGGGAACAGGAAGGAATAATCGACGTCTCATGTGCTATGTTTCCTCATTTATTATTGTCTTCCTCCTGTTTATTTATTTCCTCATGTCTAAGGCAACATCCCCCAATGGCTGAATTGGTGTGTGATATATAGCAAATATATACTGGTGCCTTTCAAGCTGGAGTCATACCAACATTTGGGCCTGGATATTGGGAATGGCACATGGGTTGAGGTTTCTTATCTTTATTACAAACAAGACAATAAAAAACTATGTTGATGCACTAATGTCTGTTTCATTGTAAATACAAAGTACAAAAAATCAATAAGTACAAAAGGAACTTGACTAGAAACAAATCCTTGAGCATTGTCATGTGCATGAGGTCATGATGTGGCAGGAGATAATGAAACAAGGTCCAAGTCAGCACGATGAACCTGTACAGGGACGAGCAGAGTCTGCTTCCCTTCTGGGATGGATGACAAGTCTTTAATTGCAGCTGGAGGAGGAGCCTGGGGGAAGACAGGGTCATAGGAATCACAGTATTCCTCATGTGGTGTCATAGTAGAATAACCGTGGTCTGAATCTCCACCACCTTCCCGATTCCTCGGTCTTCGATATTCTGGGCTCGTTCGATACGGTGACTGGATCATCATGGCCACTAATTCTCCTCCACCTGGAAATTGTCAAAATAACATACTGGAAATGGTTCATATGAAAAAATGACATATCAATGGACAAAATGGAATGCCTACTTGATGAAGGATGTGGCGGTTCTTGTTCATCTGAATCTGGGCAGTCAGATTCATCTTGGTCTTCTACATAAGTGGGAGGGCCAAGCCGGGCCTGAGATGAATCCCACGATGTCCCCTCTCCATGACTTCCAAACATGTGGGAATAATGTCGATAGCAATAGATGCCAAGAGCCAGCACCAAGAAGCAGGCCATTATCCCCCCTGCAACTGGGCCAATAGGTGCTCCACCCAAGTCTTCTGCTTCGTCTCCATACAAAGATGCCTCTGGAAACAATAGGATGGAGATGAAGATTTTTGCTGAGTCCATAGGGGAGTCAGGTTCAGAAATATTTACAGGTTTTCCCAAATTCTAATGCCAGTTTTGAAAAGTTATTCTATTTTCAACACTAATTGGGTGATTCCCAAAGGTCTGCAGGATAATAATACTGAAAACTGAGTTCCAATTTTATTGCCAATTCATGATAATGAAACCTGAAGTCCTATTCAAGTAGGGTGTGTACAGTGTAAATGGTGTCAGTCCAAGAAAACTATTTCGGGAAATTAACATTATTAGATGCCTCTATAATAATAAAAATGAAGCCTGGCATTTCCTCAAATATAACCTGCTAAAACGGGTGAAGGAGAGCATGACATCCTTGAATTTGCTATTGTTCACCTCAGAGGTCCTCATAGACAAAAATCGGCGCGTACTTGCACTCTACAGTCGCCTTCAGTGAGCATTGTCTAGGAATGCTCAACCCCGGAGACCGACCTCTTTTCATCTCACAATGGTCATAACATATTGAGTTTTACTTCAACATGTTTTGGGTATAGGCTGATATGTACCTCCCAACTTTCAACACATAGTTCATGTCAGAGTGGTTGCGATAGGTTCGACGCAATAATAAATCTTGGCCGACTTGACCCCAGATAAAGCACAAAGAAAACGAATGAGGTGAGGGCTGGGGTACGTAGGTTCGGTTCCGTGTCAAAACATCGACGCCAAAACATCGAAACGACAGAACATCGACGACGAAACATCGACATGACAAAACATCGACGCGAGAAAACATCGACGAGACGATACATCGACCAGGCAAAACATCGACGTGACAATACATAGACGAAATGAAACGTCGACAAGTTTTTTTTTTCCCTCAGATTTTTTTTGAGATCGCTACTGTTACGCATCTTCCGCAGGGCCTTGCTGCAATCGACTATCAATCCAGGATGACTGATAGAAGTCAGGTTGAGGATGGCATATTGGCTTCGGCAAGCAATTTGATGCTAATCATCCGTCTATAATGTATTACTTGGTTCCAGTTCTTAATGAAAGTACCGACTTTTTCTGAATTTTATTGACACACACAGTCAATAGTCAAAAGGATTTCAAACCACATCAAGGGAGGCCAAATACAAAAAAAAATAAAGAATTAGAATAAGGTATCAGCTTTTGGCAACGATAAGGAGAATATGTTGAAAAGAGGAGCCTGTCATTGCACGGAACAAAATTACACCTGGAGATTGAAATTATGTGCAATCCCGCGTAAGTACTCTTTCAAGGGCCGCTGCTCATAATCCAAAACAATAGAGGTGATTCGGAGAGCGCATTGACGATAAATTTTGCGGCTCGGAGGAGGGTCTTGTCCTGCAATATATTGCTCCATCCTGAGTTCATTCAGGCTCTGTTCCTTCTTGAGGCAATCGATAAACTTCCAGACAGAAGGATGATTAGCCCCAAGGAGCTGGCTGAAGCCACGATGCCATCCCTCGACTGAATTATTTGTTCTTGGTAATCCATCTCGAGCAGCTTCATAACAGTTCCATAAGCTGATGGAATACAGTGGTTCTCTTCTGTGACCTCTCCTATCGGGGCGCCCAANTTCGAATGAAGTCACACGAAGCCAGTCGAGTAACTGATTTGGTGCGATGTTGGGTTATCTTATATCCCAGGTCTATCCCCATCCTAATCCATCCTTGCTGGTTTGTGGTGGGCATGTAATCCTCTTACTGGAGGATGGTCACACAATGACATTAAGCCGTGTTGAGTGAAAATCTTAACTGATCTACTCAAGATCTTCCCGCTCACCTTATCAGCTACTTTGACCGAAGTCCGCTTAACGGGGGAATTCCCATTGCTATCTCAAAAAAATCTGAGGGAAAATTTTGTCGTGTCGATGTTTCCTTGTTTCGATGTTTTGTCATGTCGATGTATTGTCTCGTCGATGTTTTGTCGCGTCGATGTATAATTATGTCGATGTTTTGTCATGTCGATGCTTTATCGCGTCGATGTTTTGTCGTTTCGATGTTTTGTCGTTTCGATGTTTTGGTGTCGATGTTTTGACGTGATACCCGTAGGTTCTAGGCCTCCACTCATAAACCCACGGGTGTTCTAAGTACGGCCCGCGTGGGCCGGATCCGTCACATCACATGTTTCGCATTCAAGTAAAATACTTATGAACTCGACAGCAGCTTCAGGGCGTACTTGATCTGTTCGAGTCGGAACGTATTGCGGCAGGAATGAAATTGAGCGTCCCCAAAACACAGATTATGGTCCTCTCGAGTAGTCCTGCACCTTCTGTACCTCTACCTTCCTGGGACTTAAATGTGGAGGGCCCCAATGGGAGAAGTTTAAGTACCTCGGTGTCTGGTTCTCGAGTGATGGGCGATATGGAAACGAGATCTACAGCTGCATCTCCAGGACTTCTGCAATTTTGTGGGAAATCTGGAGGGCTGTGGTTGCCAAATTTGACATTTCCGAGAAGGCGAAACTTTCGGTTTTTAGGAGCGTTTACCTTCTCACCATCATCTAAGGTCACGAACTGTGGGTAATGACCGAAAGAATTAGGTCACTGAAACAAACAGCAGGAATGAGGTTCTTGCGGCAGATAGCCTGTGTCACGCTAAGTGAGAGGATGCAGAGTGCCGCCATCCGTGAGAACCTCAGGGTCTAGCAGCTACGCATTCGGATCGAGAGATCCCAAACCCGTTGGTTTGGACACCTCTCTCGCATGCCTCCTGAGAGACTCAGCAGAGTCTTCCAATTTAATATGACCTATAAGCGTCCAGAGACTTCGGGTGGGTTCTTTGACTCTCTTTTAGCTGCTAACGGGCTTTTAATCGCTTCTTTTAGGCAATTGTGATTCTTGTACAAGTTTTTACACTAAAAGCCCTTTTATATCATGATTTTAAAGGTGATCTTGGGGCTCAGTTAAAACTGCTTTTTGGCATTTTCAAAATAGAGACGCTGGAACAACTGCATAATCTTCGCATTGTCCGTCGTGTGAGAGCTGGCGATCATCATAGCTTGGCTCGAAGTCTGGCAGACCGTAGTGATCCAATGCGTACATTAGATGATTTTGCATTCAAACGTCCATTTCGATTCGAGAAGTAGACAGTTGTGGAAATTACCCAGCTCCTGACTTGACGCCTTAGCCAACAGCGACGAAGAATGGACGTGCATCCCAAATTGCAAGTTCTAAACGCATTGCGCTTCCGCGCAACGAACTCATTTCATGAGGTGCTGTGGAGTGAATTCGCCTCTCGAAATCAGCTGTGAATGCATGCATTCAACAAGTTGCAAGAGCCCCAGCGAATGTGAGGCCTCAATGGGTGACATTTCTGTGCCCCGTAGAATATGATCGGCTTAAAATAGACTTCTGTAAGCTTGTTGGATTCTCAGGAATACTTGGATCTTGCATCAGCTTCCTTTTTAACACCACGTCATTATTTCCCAAAGGATGCGAATCTGGGACACTTTTCTCTTTGACTCTGACGGAAACTGGGCCGCAGGCTAGAACGCCACCCTCTCCCGTGCTTTGTTCTTCAGAGCATTACTCACTTTATCACCTTTCTTGCATTCGATAATGCTTTTATCGGTCTTCACTAGGGATATTAGGCAGTCTCGCTCATCAATAGAGAAATTTTCACCCCTTTCACGTCTCTATGTGGACTTGCTATCAGCACTTGTACAAACAAAGTTTGCAACCGGGACTGTCAAATGCTTCAGTCAGATTTATAAAAGACCTTTTATCTAACGCATCTTTAAGAGAAGGAGAAAGAACTACTCTTAGGGTGGATTTTTGAACAGAGCACTATCCGATAATGCAGCTTTATTTCAGAGAAAATGCATTATAAATTCAGTAAATAAAGCTGCATTATCGGATAGTTCTCAGTTCAAAAATCCACCCTTAAACGTCCTTTTAGCTAAAGGCCTTTTGATATCTAAAAGCTCCTTTACCTAAACGACAGTACAAGAATCCACCCTTAGTTGGTAGGCCTCGTGCAAGATGGATCGACCACATTGGTAATCTTTGCCACGAGAGACTCGGTATACCACCTGCCGAGTTTGAATCCGTTCCCCAGGATCGCGAACACGAAAACAAGCGTAGCATGGGTGGAACACGTGAGGGAGCACAAGAACTCCGGGACACTGTCCACCCCCCCCCCCCCCCCCCCNAGGATCGCGAACACGAAAACAAGCGTAGCATGGGTGGAACACGTGAGGGAGCACAAGAACTCCGGGACACTGCCCACCCCCCCCCCCCCCCCGACCTGACGCTACGCTGCTGCTGGAAGATGCTACTGGGCCTGCTCGAACCGTGACCCCATTAACACATTCACTTCCAGGCATGTAAATGGCTCAAGCCGTTATTGTTGCTGGGAGAACGACTTCACGAAATTATCGCAGTAATTGGCAGCGAATGTGTTAAGTTGGGATAAGCAGTTTCGAAAATGTTGGAATGTATGCATGTAGGGGTTGTACCCGAAGTGCTTCTTTAATTGACTTTCTCTTTTCCGAAAAAAAAAGTTGGCTCTCCGACCGCCTCAATTCTTTTTATATGTAGCTTCGAAACTTTGGATAGGAGAGAGTGAAGCACTGTGGGTCACGGGGTACTATGGGTCAGGCTGTCTAGAGCTCTTCCAGCACTGTTTCTCTTCTTTCTTCATGTTGTCTCCTACACATCTTCCAGCTGTGGTGCCAGGGAAGTGTATTAAATAAATAAATAAATATTTTCCATCGAAAGTGTAGAGTGTGCAAACATTGTTCTGTTACAGACACAATATCCCTTGTCTTTTCGTCCATTCATCCAGGAACAACTCCGTTATCGCTTGCGCCTTTTCGTTTCTCTCGTCTTTCTTTTCCTGTTTCACAAGCTTTAACCGAGAACTCTCGAACATTTGATTTGTCTGAAACGGGTTTAAGATCTAACTCTTCTGAGTAGAGAAGGAACAATTACTCTAGAGCAGGGGTCGGGAACCTTTTAGGTCATGTGAGTCATATTGAGATTGAGGTAAGTGCTTTTGGGCGAAAGATTTTCAGAACAACATAATTTTTCCTGAAGTTGGCAACAGACATACATTCTTTGAAAAATGAGAAACATGAGAAACAACCATGATTTCCAGCCATAACTCAATGAGCCAAACTTTTCGGTTCGTGAGCCAAATTTGGCTCATGAGCTATAGGTTCCTGACCCCTGCTCTAGAGTAACTGTTTCGAGCCTCACCTCGCTACAATAAATTTCACCTCGGGACAAGCCTTTTGACTGTCAAACATGAAAAATAGAGAGCTGAGTATATGAAAAGTATTTTGAGTATTGAGGAAAAACTGCAATACAAAACTCACCGATGTCATGAGTCTGATAGGGGTTGTAGATAGAGTGGAGAGCACCTTGAAAGCAAATACTCAGCGAAGAACAGAAGGGTTTATCAAGTGGTGTCACACCATCTCGTTCCATGTAGCACCATTCACATCCTACCACCCCTGCACACCCACTGTAAGAAAAATAAATGACCCCCATTAGCATCATTGCTTTCCCAATTTAAAACATATGAGGTCTGTGCCCGTGCGCTGTATGGGCACGGCCATTTACGCGAACTACACTTGAAAAACAAAATGTGATTCATGATAGATCTTGCCAAAAATTATGCTGCCATCATTTTGCAAGTTTGTAATCACATAGATTAAAGGTTTAGGACTTGAAGTTATTGAAGTTACATTTTTGTCGTCAGGACAGAGATGTACGACTTCTTTCCAGATTCAAAAGGTTCAGGTCCGAAAGTGCTACGATATATGCTGCTCAATAGACCAGAAGGGTAATTCCATTGTGACTCATGTTACTTCTATTTTTTTTTAAACTTGGCAATCAATTGCACTCTACTTTCCCAATTTTCAAAACAGGAATCCAACAACAGGTATTATGATAGTAGGCATTGACCTGATTGACTTGATTATAGGAATTCAATTTTCTTACAGCACTTTTGAGAGCAACAAAAAGGATAGGGGCTACGTTAACTCATGTTACATGAATGGGACACATTCACCAGAAGCTGAATTTCTGAAGCAAATATCTGTTTTATTTGAAGTAAGATCAGTCACTCCATTTCCCTTTCAGGACTAAGATGAAGGATGTATATTTTACGTTAAATTTGGTAATTTTAATGGTAATGATTCTATGGTAAGTTCAGATCACAATTTTGCATTAACTTCATAAAGATCATGGGCTCGGCTGCTAGAAAACATGATGGTTCAGCTGAGAGAACCATTGTAATTAACATCGTATCATATTGTAACATTACCACTTTTTTTTGCAGGGGGGAGAAAATTCTTCAAAATCATTTCAAGTAACACTATAATAATACTTCTAATCACTCAAGTATTGACTATGAGGTTTTTCATGCACTGCCAATGACTGAATATATCAGAGTACAGTACTTCATGTTTCACTGGAATTTCATTGATGGGTTATATAGAATATCTGCTTCAGTCATTAAGAAGCCAGTAAATTAAATGAAGAGGGCTCTTATGACTTAGGCTATTGGATGAAGAGTAAGTAAAGAATCTGACCTCTCTGAAGTCCTTTGTAAGCACCTTGGAGCCATACATGACAAGGAGGAAGGTAGTCGAGACCTTGGTGGATGAGCCTTGAATGTAGGCAAAAATCCAGATGTTTCATCTGGGGCATGACATGCTACTTCTTCCTCCTCTACTTCCTCATGCCTGTCTTCATTTTGTTGGCAGAGATCATATCCAAGTGTGAGAGGACATTCACAAGGACACTCACATTCTCGTTGCTCCATGCGTTTACAATTCAAGCATGAATGATCCAGCTGTAATATACATGTTGAGTCCTATGTTTAATAAAGAATGGCTTTTTAAGCGATTACCTGGTAGGGCAGTGGCCTGCTTCCCACCAAGGCGCATAGATAGTGAAAAGGAAAAACCAATGGTGCCTGTCCCACCCAAACCAATCTAGGCGATGGGGGAATGCACCCCACTACAATTAAAGATTCCTTAAATAAGAAGCCTCCTGTTTAGCCGAGCGACCCATTGCATTGGCTGATGTACGCAATTGAGTCCACTTCGTACTTGAATAATAATAATAATAATAATAATAGAATAAATAATAAAACCCGCCTGCATAGGGGGGAGTGGATCTCCATCAGGAGTACGTTCCCATGGTTACAATGGTGCCAGTCCCACCCAGACCGACCTAGGCATGGGGGAAGAAACCCCACTCCTGAACCGAAACCTGACAGAGATTGTCTAGGCTATGGGAGGTTAGCCTGCAGAGAAGGGGCGAGACTGAAGGAAGCTAAAAGAGGAAGGACAGTGAAGAAAAATATAGCTTTAAGTTCTCTATTGTTTAAAATATCCAAATCTCCGATCTCTCTAAACCGATATTAAGTTATCCCAATGATGAATATCAGAATATCATGTGTTTATTGACAGAAATCATGAGCACATTATTACAGGAGATTTGGATATTTTAAACAATAGAGAACTTAAAGCTATATTCATACAAGGAGCAAAATATAGGTTTAATCATAGGTTCAGCAAGGAGGAATTAATCGAGCAAATCCACATGGATATCCAATCTTATATTTCTTGAGTTTCTTTTCAAACTGGAACCTATGACGCCTTTTTTCATCCATGGAAGATAAAAGTGTTTCAAGATTTTAAAGAGAAAATTGAAAGTTTTCAGGTCAAGTACCCCAAAGGCTCTTTAGATATTTCCTACAGAAAATTCAAAGATCTCCTACAGGAAATGCACAAGAAATGTGTGATCGTCACTGTTGATAAGGCCAACAATAATTTTGCCTTTATTTGCCAACGTTTTTATGGCCAAATACTGAAAGATGAAATTTTGAACATCCCAACCTTTCAAGAGCAAACCATAGGTTTGAGAAAGCAAGAAAGAAAGTGTTTAGTGCCTGTTCTGAATATGGAATAAAAATAGATTTGAAGAGTACAAAAATACCTTTCCGTTTTGCAAACCCCAAATTTCACAAAAATCCAATAAAATTTCGGTTCATCACCAGCTCAGTCAGCACATGCATCAGAAATCTATCAATTCGAGTGAATGAGATTTTAGATCAACTCATGAATGAACTCGAATATTCCTCTCAAAATGTCCATGAAAATTGGATTATAAAAAACAATAAAGGAGTACTGAAAGCTGTAAAAAACATCAATATTATTAAAACAGCCAAATCCATCAGATCATGGGATTTTACCACTCTATATACAAAAATCCCCCTAGACCTACTCCATAATTGCATCGTTGCTCTTTTCGAGAGGTTTCTGCCTTTTGGATGCAAGTTCGGTAAGAAAGGCGAAATTGACAAGGAAAGGTTCTCTCAACTGCTCAAAACAAGCCTAAAATGTAATTATATCCAAGTTGGGAATCGACTTTTTCAGCATGTGGTCGGAATCCCAATGGGCAGTACTTATTCCACGAACATGGCAAACCTTTTCCTGTTTTTCTATGAATCAAAGTTTATTAAAGAAAACCCTTTCTCTGAGAA